CCTTAGGGTTCTGGCTCCTTTTCCATTCTGGGGAGCGTCAGTCCGGTTCCTATTCCCCCGGCAAGTCATGATATTACATATGGTACTCACTCACGCTCCTCCCCCTTTTGGTGTGGAGGCCCGGAAGCCGGCATTGATTACTTCTCGTGAGAAGGATGTACCGAACTTCACCCCTGCCTAAGTTGGCCTATACTAAAAAAGGAGCTTTCTCGGATGTCTATCATTTTTATTCTTTGCTGAGATGGTCCTGTACCCACATGGAGTTCCTCTCAGTCGAGTGGACTGTCAGGTTGGTGAAAAAGGCTAGAACTGTAGTAGTGGTGTGATGACCTTCTCGTTATTGTCTCTCTTGTTTGAACTTGTGTGTAGTAGTGTGACTGTCTATTTGCAACTGCTACATTTATGTGTCTTCCCTCTCCCTCTTGTCTGAGTAAATCTGTTACTGTTGGTGAGAATTTTGTCTGTTCAGACTTGGCTGTTTTCAGTAGCCTGTTGGTATTGTGTTAGCAAACGGGTCCAGTTTTTAGTTTTTTCTGTCTTTTCTTCTGTTCCTGGGTTTGTTTGGGATAGGAGCTGAGTGGGGCTTGAATTCCTCTTGGCTAGGAAAGTCGTGGATGGATGATTAGATTTGTATGTCGAGGTTGTTATTTAGACTGTGGTGGTGTTGGGGTTCCGGCAGCGGTGTGGGTGCAAGAGATTGACTTGATAGGATGAGCCATTCCTTAAAGACCAGGTTATTTCTTTCTATTGTTCCTATCGATCCTCCTCCTAGTTTTCCTGTCGTAAATCTTTTGATAATCTCGAGTTTTTTGTCTGGTGTGTTTTGTATTCTTACCTGTGTTTTCTTCCAGAGGGCGTTGAGTTCGGTTTCTATGAGTTGTTTGATAGTGATTAGGGGGTTTTCATGGTTAGTGGGGTGGACATCGAAGGTCAGGTCACATCTCCTTTTCCAGATTGCCCATAGTGAGGTTTTTCTGATTAGTGAGAAGAGGAATAGATCGAAGCCTTTGAATTCTGGGGATTGTTTTATATCCAGATACAGGGTTCCGGGATTGATTTGTACTTCTTTATTTGAGTGTTTGGCCCATGTTTGTTCTAGGTACGTCCATAGGGTTTGGGTCTTCTCACATTCTATGAAACAGTGATTGAGTGTTTCTGCTGTTTGTGCATTGCAGACTTTGCACCATGACTCCTGTTCTGATCTGTCTTCTTTCTTGTGTCTTTGTGATAGCCATAGGTTTACGGGGACGGCTCTATAAGTTATGAGCCAGAATAGGCTGGCCAGTTTTACCGGTCTCATGCAGAATATTGAATTCCAGGAGGGTTTGAAGTTCTCGTTGGCGAGT